CCTTTATTATTGTTTTTTTTCCTTAATATTTGCATAAGCTCATTCTATCCGTTTCCTATCCAGTTTTAGTATCTGTTCTGGTTCGAATAAAGCCAATTTTTTTCACTGAACTCTATTTTTCCGCATAATGTCTTAATGGATTTTTTCCAGACCAGACCTCCAATGAATTAGCGGTCATGGCTGAACCTAGTCCAACGAATCTGTTGGAGCATTCATCTACTAGTCTTACATCTCCGACTCCTGCAGATAGCGGCAAAGTCGAATCTACAATGCTGGCGGGCGCTTCTGCTGAATCTAGTATCGCAAGCTCCGGTCACGCAATCATCGACATAAGCATGTCAGCCGAAGAGATGCGTTCTCGTCTCACAAACGCCACGCGTAGGAGACTGGCACAAAGTGCCATTCACAGCTTCGCTCACAGAGCTGCATTGTTCGAGCAGCTCTGAGCCTATTCTGCTTTCATGACTTCCATCTAGCCACGTCACATTTATCTTTCTTTTCTGTTTGTCCATTGGCCTGTCTATCTCTTTCTCTCTCTCTCTCTCTCTCTCTCTCTCTATATATATATATATATATGTATATCTGTAATTATACTTCCGTTTGTTTCCACTTTTCCTGCTATACTCATCTATACGTATCCATTTTCTTTCCTTTTTACGTTCCTGCATTATACGTTTGAAAAGTACTACGCCTAGTCTGTCTCACGCCATACACACACGAAAACCATTGCCGCACGATCCACTGCAGATGCGAGAGTGTCGGCATGAATTCTTGAGCCTAGACGGACGGGTACACATTATGTTATTATGCCTTCGCTCTCTACTTATGGGTGTATTCTCGCCCTCTCTCTCTTTCCTTGGGATAAATGTGGATATCGCCCTCGTTCATGACCCTTGGGATGTGCCTTGTCACACCCTGACTATTCACCCGCTGACAACCCTATTTCCTCGTGACGTCCATGTCTTTGGCCTCAATCAATATTCGTATCTACGATAATCGCTGAACTTACCTCATACGATTTCTACCCTTAATGATTACTAAAACCTTCATTTGATAACGAATTACATATTTATCGCGAGAATGCAACCATATAACTCATTTCGTCGATCTCTACTTACATTCATGATTTTTCTTATTACCCTACTTTATTTTCGTTTTATAATTAGTTTTTCGAGGCTACCAGAATATCATATATATTAGACGTATTCACCTTATTTCCTTTAGGGTGCTCAAGGACTTGTAGTTGAATTTTCCTAAAATGTCATGTGCAGGCATCACGTTTCCATTGAATTTCACATGACCTTGCTTCCCAAAAGGTATTCCTATCCAAAGTGGACTACAGTTTCCACCTCGCCTAGGTCTTATCAGCACCTCCAGCGAGACTCGAAATTCGCGTATGCTCTATGATATAGGGGCACTCGTAGGAGTGTAGTATAGTGGTTAACATGTTAAGATTATACACTGCACCACCTAGTTTCGAGTCCCGCCAGGGGTGCTGATGAGACAGGCGTGGTTAAAACTGCAGTCCATCTCAGTCTCTTGCTTAGATGAGAATACCTTTTGGGAAATAAGGTTATGTAAAATTCAATGGAATCGTAAGGCCTACTCATATCATTGAGGGAAAATTCTACTATAAATCCTTCATCATCTTAACCGAAATGGGATGAATACGTCTCATATCCCATTTTTTGAGAACTTATCCGAATTACCACAATGACCTTCTTCGAGGATCCGACCTTCCTCCCCAGCATCGTTATCCTCGAGTCGTTTTGAGATACGATGGCCAAAATACCTCTTGGTTGTGCAATTTATTTCCTTTTATAATTTTTTTCTTATACACTGGTCAACATCTCGCATTGACGAGTGATCATAATTCATGTATTGTTACTTCGCTATCTAACTTTTACTCTGACCCTTAATTATCCTATGCTATGGCATTTCGATTCCACCAGCAATTGACGCATAATTTTTGTAAAACACCTCTCTTTATCATTTGATTACAGGACAGCCTTTTGGCCAGGGCGAAATTTTATATATATGCTGAATATATCTTCTCTTTTTCCTTTTTAACGGTACGTTTTTTAGCACTATAGGGTTAAACCTGAACAGACTTGGCTTAACTCTATACTCGCGCCGTTCTATTATTGCAAGCCGTGAAAATTAGGAAGGAACATCGGGTTACAAACAGAGGATGCTAGGATATCTATCTTTATTGTTTCGATCAAAGCCATTTTAAGCTTGCTTTTGGCCTTTGACCCCTTTCTTTGTAACATAATAAGAAAATATTGTATCACGGTGATAATGTCGGACGTCGTTTAGCTATAAGTAGGCTGACGCATAATAGTGTTTAATGCCATCCTTACGAACAAACGATCGTTTCATTATATTGCTCTGGCCTTCTTTAGATGCTTTTATAGGAATGAAGTTGGACGCCGCCTCGGTTTAGTCTTAGCAGTAAGGGTTCGCCAAACTGCTTTTTTCTTTGGATCTAAAGAGCCTGGATATGTTCGCTACATCACAAGAGGATCATTGCAGTTGAAAGTAAAGCGCGTGTCAACACCTTATTCGCAATGTCTGTCGCCAACGTAGAAGGCATATATGCCAAATTCGATTAACGACTGCTTTTCCTCTCTTGGGGAAAGGCAATCTTGAATCTCTGACTAGTCTCAACTACCTTAGAGACCACTATCTTGCCCGATACTGCAATAATTTATTAGGCTCCTTCCTTTCTGTGCTTGAGAGTCCTGCAGCAGCACTTCCATTTGAAGGATGTTGCTCTGTCAGCTAGGCGTTATTATACGCAAAGATTATCAACATTTATTGTGCGTTCATATGTTTTGCAACCCTACTGTATAAATGAGCTCTACTAAGTTGTTACGAAAGAAATCGCATACAGGAATAACCCTTAACTTCCAGTTTTATCATGCTTATATAATGAAGATAGAGATACCGATTCTGAGTTCTGGTAAAATGAACTAACTCATACCTCTTGGGAACGGATATCCAAGAGAAGCAATACAACGCAACATACGGACCGTGATTAATAGATTTAGGGACGGGGATTATGAAAGCAATGCAAGGGAAACAAAGGAAAAACGATACATCTGTCTACCCTTCTGGGAACTGACTCGGAACCTGCGGCCGATAACATTAAAGTGTAAAATTGGTACAATCCTCAAGGAAAGGATATGAAGTAGTCAACGAAATAGAGTGCTCCGGAGTTTCAGCATAAAATGTAAGGACTGTGAGCAAAAATACATAGGAGAGACTGGAAGGACAATCAGCACAAAGCTCAAGGAACATCAGCGAATAATCAGAAAAATGGATACAGAAAGATCGGAGAGGGCTGAACACATGTCCTAACTAGCCACAAAATTGACCGGAGTCCAATTGAAAGATTGGCCTCATATGGGGAGAACACCAGAAAACGGAAGATCACGATGTCCGTCAAACATCCTCTTTCAAGGAAACCTAATAAATAGGAGATTGGAAGAGGGAAGAGTCAGCGAGAATTTCACGTCCTGCCTGGGTAGGAAAAAACATCGCCAAGAAGAGGATTATGAGGGACAAAAAGAATTCAAGAAAAGGCGAGAGGGCGGTGAGAGGAGTCAGATCAGGAATCAGCCGATAAGATGCTGGTGTGGGTCCACCTGCGGAATGTGAGATAAAGAAGTAAAGGCCAAATAGGTGCGGATTACACAATAAAGGTGCTAGGCTAAATTGATCGCTCTATCAAATTCATCAGAGTATGGAACCGACCTGGTAAGAACAATCTCAGTTAGTCACCATTGTGCGTGTGCGCATTTTTAATGTGATGTACTTTAATAAGAGGTGACTGATGACATGCTTGACCAACGTACACACTAACGAAGGGCTATAAACTTAGGAATAGATGGGACTGTCAACTTGAGAGAAGGGAGTGTGTTCTACTCGACTCAAGAGTGGAAAGGGGAAGCGATACCTTTTCACACCAGCAGCTCAAAATTAAATCGTACACGGCCCCAAATAATGAGATACTATATAGGTGTGGAGCCTAGGGCAAAGATGCCTAAGCATGGGCGTCACCGGCCCTAAATCCTCGAATCTGGCGTAAACAGGAATGTAAATTGAAGGCTCGTATGTGGCCAGATAGTGATTTTGATGTGTAGCAGAGAGTAATTGAAGCGAGGTGAAAAGAGGAGTAGACTAGATAAAAGCCAGGAGCCATAAAAACGGCTTCTAAAACCGGTTGTGAAGGTGACTACCAGTAATCAAAATCCACTTTTGGCGTT